GCACCGAGATAAATAGCTTATCGAATTCGGCCGAATAGACCTTGGCAAATTTTTTTAGGCGTCCCAGAATTTATAAAAACAGCTATAAATAGAGTCTTTGCCTTGAAAATCATCTTCTGACATTTTTAATTAGGCTAGTTTAGACAAAAATGTGTATTTTTATCTTTATAGTTCAATACGTAGTTTATAGAATAAAGGTTCAAATCAATAAAGGCAAAAAGAGATTAAATATATACATGAACTAATATATGGATTTGTTTTTGTCTAAATTAGCTTGATCAAAAATATCAAAGAATGATTTTTAAAGCAAAAAACCCAAATTATTATATTTTTTATTAAATTATTGTTATCTATTTATTAAATTAGTTTAATTGCTAATCCGGATAAAATCAGCACAAATTATGCATAAATATATATAAAATCTTAGGGATAAGTATATTAGCGATTTATAATATACGTACAAATCTGAAAAGACTTGGTTTTTAAAGATTAAAAAAATGTCGAAACTCCCTGTTATGCTAATAGAAAATGAGAGATTGGACGAAAATCTTCATTATGGCGTATATTCGCAATACTGGTGGCGACTTTCTAATATAAGCAAAAAAAAAAATATTTTCCTATTCGAATTGGTCAAAAAACTAAAATAATTATAAAGAAATGTGAATTTTTTATGACAGTTGTTATTAACTACTCCGAAAATTGTTTTTTGCCTAGGTTTTATTGCAAAAGTGGTTCCTTTTCCAGTATGAAACCAGATCCAACATAGCAATTTCTACGGTATATAAAGAGATCTTCAATAATCAAACACGTTTTTCCAGATATTTAGTACTTGGATGGACAAATGAATCAATAATTGAACAGCTATCACTAGATGTATCATTTGTTCCTATATCTTTTTCACTTGGTGAATACAAAATTTTTATCTTTGGCGTGGGGTCTTCTTCAAACTAAGTGGAATAATGGCGAACCGGGATACAAATCTTCCCTTGTGCATACTGTAAATCGAATAAATTTTTTATACGTTTCAACAATAGAGGATGGTTTTTGTACACTCAAAGTTTATAAGGAATTTAAAATTAAAAACCGGATTGAAGGTTCATCTCCAAATGAAATGTGGAAGAGACTGAATATTCAAAAATATACTGGTGTTCAACTTTTTGGGCTCGACAATTCTGATGTACAATCGTTAATTTGTCAGCATCATGTTTCTACTTGCTTACCGAAGAATTGGCCCGATTATGTTCTTATGAAGACTCTTTTTAACTATCATTTAAAGTGAAGAACGCTTGCAGATATAAATTGGCATAGCTTGTTTCTAAATTGGTATGAAAGCAAAATTAACGTTGTTGAGCTTTATTCAAGCCTTGAAGATATGTATTCTCCAAATTACCAATTTGGTGATTGTGAATTAGATGCTTGGCGTGCAATGCTTCGTGCGAGTGGGTGCTATAATATTACTCCTTGGACGTTTGAAGAATCAAAGGTAAGTTTAGAGCTCTTAAAATAAATCAAAAACTAATTCTTTTTTTTTTTTTTTTCGTTTTTTTATAATGTAGTACCAACTATGGACGAAAAATGAGCATCATAACAATGATCGGGCTACATTTCAACAATTATATAAATTAGGATTTTTAAATAGCTCTCCAAGTTACATCCCTAATAAAACTCATATTTTTTAGCAATGTTTTAATCAAGCACTAGCAGATAACAAGAAAACAAGGGATGGAAAAAGGCGAATTCTATCTATAATTGCTAATGATTTTAATTATTCAGAGCTAAAAACAAATTTGAGTGTAAGTGTTAATTTATAATTTACTTTTATATCAAAAAGTTTTATAAATTTGAATAATAATTCTACAATTTTAAACTAATATCAATAGGTTGGGCACTATACAATTTCAGAGTCACGAAAACATGCAAAAATAAACAGATATGGTGCCCCAGCTTTAACAAAGCCAGTTATTCATTGCACAAAATTAACAATAGAGCAATTAAATCAATTCGAATTGTTTTTTACAACTAAAGGTAATGTTAATATGTCATCATATAAAACAGATGAGTTGACAGGTTTACCTATATTATACCTTCAAGACTATAAGAAAGCTTTATGGAATAAATTTCACAAGGAATATCCCAATGGCATGCAACGCACAACCTTTATGACTCGATTGGAAGGGGGAAGATTTGTGTATAAAGAAAATCTTGGAGGTCTTTGCACTACTTGCAATGAGTTAGGTTACGAAGTTTTTAAGGAGCTCGAGTTATTTATTGATACTAAAATTAAAAATATTGAGCTTAAGGTAATTTATGTTCTGATTTTTTCTTTTTTTTATCCGGTACTTACATTTAATTTGTATATATAAGAACGGCTATTTCCACTATGGAGATTTACTGTTACCAGTAAATTTCCATGGTGGAAATAGACGTTGTCTAAAAACAATAGGAAAATATGCAAGGAATGGCTCAAAACTTACAGTGATATCTGCGTAAAGATTTTGCTACCAACCTTAAAGTATCATCAACAGGTGTTGCTCTATACTCGCCATGCATTAGCCATTGTCTTCAACATGCTTTTAGTAATTGCAATTTAGATCATCCCGAAATTTGCAAAAATTGTAACAACTTGTTTACCTTTTTTGATGGCCTAAAGGCAAATGTGGATGATGATGAGTCTCATAAATCTTTAATTGAGCATCAAAATCAACTGGTTTATTTTATGGCCCATCATGCACGAAAGACGTATCTGAATACATAATTAAATGTTGAACTTGCTCAACTTGACGCGGATGGGGCTTTGTTTATTGTAGATTACAAAATGAGAATCCTCCCACAAAGTGTACGAGAAACAAAGCCTAAGTTTTTTGGGAAGCGCGGATGGACTCTACATTCTGTGCTTATATACACCAAAAATACAGAAACTAATAAACTTGATATTCAGGTATTTGATCATTGGAGCAGTGATACAAAGCAAGATGCTTGGTTCACCACATCCTCACTTCACTCTGTACTTGAAACTCTAGGTCGGATGCCAAAATGGATTACTATTGTTTCAGACAACGGTCCCATTATCACAATACTGAGCTGATGATAATATTGAGAAAGTGAAAAAAATAGTACGATGTTGCTGTAAGAAAATGGCTATTCCTCGAGGCTGGTGAAGCTAAAACATTGATAAATTCTCATCATGCACAAGTTCGTAAAAAAAAAAAAAAACATGAGGTCCATATCATTTTTCTGACACTTCGTAATATTTCGTCGATATGAGATTTAGCATTTTAAGCACGCTAATTATCAGTATAATTGATTTATCAGCATAATTGTCATGTCTGTGGAATGATTGTTGAAATAATTATAAATTATCTGAGGAATGATATGGATCTAAAATCATTATTCTAATTTTACGACTTCAATTTCCTAGATAACTTATGCTATTAAAAGATATGTCAAATTTGGTCATGATATTAACTCTGGCGAAGATATTGAAGAGGCGATAAAGGATATAGCGGGGACACATGTTGCTCATATAGAACCAAACAGAAATCAACGTATATACAACTTTTTGCCCTATGAAAAAAAGTTTACAGAAATTAAATGAACTATACAGAATATTTAGTATAATTTTGTATGTAATACAGAATTATACTAAATATTCCGTATAGTTCATTTAATTTCTGTAAACCTTTTTTTCATAGGACTGGATTTATAATACATAATGAGAATAAATGTATCTCTAATTATATAGGGAATAACAATGTGGCTTTAGAAACAATAGCAGGAATTTGAAATTGGCACGAATGGTTTTGGCCTGATAACGAGATTGAAGAAGGGTATATTTACGCAAGGTCTTTACCCAGAATTGGCCCATGGAAAAAATTTACACCTGAAAATATACAAAAAATTGTCAAAAAACTTGCCATAAAAAAACCAGAGCCAACCATCACTACACACAGTTATCTGAACAAATCTTGGACCATGCCAATGCCAGAAATTCAAGATTACAAGAATTTTAATTTGAGATGTCACTTGTCGAAATTAAAAATTTGCATGTCAAATCTTTAATCTGTGTATTATATGGTAGGACTGTTTCGCGCTGCTTACATTACTATTTTTATTTTATTGAAGGAATTAATTTATGGGGGTACTGTAAGCAGTGCTAAACAGTATTTGAAATTTTTTATAATTCTATTTTAGGCCAGATCAATTTAACTCTGTTTAACATAATCCCTATCTTAATTTTTCAAAAATTAAGAAACCCATACACATAATAGAGTTGTAGGTCTGGCCTTATTAGTAAATAGAATTATCGTGGTGCTTGGTAGCTTATGATAATGCCAACAGATGCTTTGTTCAAATATTAACTCATTATAATTTTATCAGCTTTGTCAAATAAAGATTTAGTAAGTGAAGACAAGATTGATGATCTAGTACGTAAATTCTAATATTTTACGTATACAATAAGCAGTTGACTAAAAATAGCCTGCTTATAATCCAGGAAACAATCGATTTGACCAATACAGCGGAAATAGAAATTTATGCCGAGTCTGAAGGGTTATCGTTTTTTTTTTTTTACCTTGATTTTTTTATTTATTTTTTTTGTGAATTTATTGAGCTTTGTCATATTTACTAACTCAACTCTTCTTTTCGGTCATGCTTTACGTTTTCATTTATGTTACTTTTTATTCATCGTCTACTTTTACTCATGTTTCTCGCATCTATTCATATTCTATATTTTTATTTAGTTCACACATATTTATTCAAGTTCACTTAACTTTTCCACTTGCTTATACTTTTTTTCAACCTTATAATTTTGTACATGCGTTCTTTCGTTTATTTTTGGCATTTTTATACCTTTTTGTTCATTTTTCAATTTTTGACTTATTTTTTACGTTTTTATTACTTTTATTTATTTATTACAATCATATTTAATTCCTCTTGCTATTTATTTTATTTAATTTTATTTATTTTTACATTTTCACCTATATCTTACCATTTTTTATTACTTACATTTTCTCATATTTATTTCTAACATTCCATTCATATTTCGCATTTATATCTTTTCCCATTCCCATTCCGTTCATTTTATTATTTTCATCCTTCTTTTTCTTATTTTTCTCATTTTCATTTTCTCTCCTTTTTACGCTTTCATTCTTTTTTCTATTTTCGCTCCTTTATATATTTTTCCTACTTTTCATACATTCATTTCTTATATTTGCCTCTGTCCCCCTTCCCTCTTTTCTTTTCTTTTCACACTTTCATTTTTTTTCTATAATTCTATTCCTTCTAATTTTCCCCCTTTTTTCTTATATTGCTTCATCTCTTCCATTTCTTTCGTATCACTTTTCTTACCTCCATTTCTTTTACTTTATTCTTTCTTTCGCTCTTGATGCTTTTCCTAATTTCTTTCTTTTTTTAACTTCATTCTTTTTTCCATCCTTGGCTTCGTTGCTTACTTTCTCTTCATTTTTTTGGCATTCCCCCATATTCGTATATACTAGTTACTGAAATTTTGACGCTGGCTGATGCCTTAAAGAAAAGCAGAAAAAAAGCAGAGCGTCAGTAAAAAGGCTCACACCTCAAGTAAAAAATCTATTAGAGATTATGTTTCACACTGGAACAGCAAGCCCACGAAACAAAATGTCTGCAACGGAAATGCAACAAGAATTATTGAAGTGTTCCCGGGAAGATGAAATTAATGAAGCTGACATACCTGAAACTTCTACAATATCAAACTGGATAGGTGGTTTTTCGAGGGCTTGGAAACGATTAATGGCAGAGCGTTCTTTGGAGGAAAACAAAATTACACATTCATAATAAACATACATATCCGCATATATGTTTATTCTGTTTCTTTTCTTATATATTCGTTGCAGCTTTTTTTTTTTTTCTTTTTAGAATATAATTGTCGCGGTTACTTTTTTTTTTTCTACTCCTTTTACTTGTTGCAATCGCGAATTTGCTATTTCGTCATAGTCAGTAATCTGACTCGAGTCTAAAGTAAAGTTTTTTGTTTACAAGGTAATAAAAATTTTTTTTGTTACTAGTCATTTTTAGAGCCTCTGAACTAAGTTACCTGTGCAATAAAAACTTGTTATTGATAATTTTCTTGCACTTTACCTTTTTAATATTTTTGTGTATTTTCCATTGTAATATATAAAATTGATAAAATTTACCCAAATATGTATAGTAAATTTGTGCTGATTTTATCTGGATTATCAATTAAATTAAAATTTTTTTTTCAACTTGTTTTTTTTTATAAATTATTTATTTTTTAAAAATTTATTTTAATTATTAAAAAAAATTTTTTTATTAACATTATAACTTATATATATATTATTATTTTTTTAAAAAAAACTTTAAATTATTAATATTAAATTATTATCGATTAATTTATTTTTTTTAAAAAAAAAATTTATCTTTTTTAAAATTAATTATTATCTTTATTTAAATTACTTTTTAACTTACAATATTTATACTACTCTATTCTTCATTTTTTTTTTTCTTTTGTCTGTTGGTTTTTTTTTTTTTTTTTTACGTATTCTTTTTTTTGTATTCTTTACAGGCAGATAAATAGATAGTAGATAGTGGATAGTTAGGTCTCTATGGGTGGTAGATGTCTTTAAAAGCGGGTAGGTAGATAGTTGGATACCTCTGCAAGAAAGTAGATGGATAGTTGGGTATCTCTACGGGTAGATGATCGGGTGTCTTTTTGGCTAGTATCTTTGTGAATGGGTGTCTTTATGAGTATCTTCACGGATGGGTTGTCGCCAATTCCCCAAAAGCTATTTACCCACCAACTCATTTCTCTGACACTTCAATGCCGACATGCTATTTCATCTACAGCCCATTTTTTCGATAAGATATTATGTATTTTTGAAAATACTTTGCTCAGATAAGACATTTCTCCGACGATCTTTCTTCAACATAAAAATTGGCCTGATTTAATCTAATTTAGAGTTAGATAGAATTATTTGTCTAGAAATTATTGTTAGAGAAATGTCTTGTCTAAGTCAAAAAAATGTAATATTAAACGTATATTTTATCAAAACAAAAGTGCTATAGATGAAATATCAAGTCGGCATTATAGTATTGAGGAAATGAGTTGGCAGATAAATAACTTTCAGGAAATCATGCTATAACCTTATGGACAGGTGTTTTTTAGCGTTTATAGATGAGTGGATTTCTATTTGTGAATAGGTGGCATTTTGCTAGTGAGGTAGATATATACCTCTTAAATTTGATAGTTCCTAAACCCGATAAAATCTGTTTACTATGCATATCAGTTTAATCGGATAAACCAGATTATTGTAATTTTTATCAAAAAAATTTTTGTTACGAAACTTACTCATCATTCCAGTAATACCAGTATGTAGGTAAAATTGAGTTAGTCTACATTGGAATTATTATATGATTTCTGTCGAAAATTGCTGTAAAATTCTAATACTGAACTTATTCGCTACTGTAGGTATATGTGTAGTTAAAGGTTAGTTAGCTTGCATTGGAATTATCACGAGTTATTGTAAAAAAATTTCTACAAACCTTACTTGCTATTCGGGTAATACACAGCATGTGGTTAAGATTGAGTTAGTTGCATTAGAATTATCATGAGTCCTACCGTGAGTTGCTATAAAAAATTTGTAGTTCCTATTGTGAGTACTAAAAAAAATTCTGTTACAAAACTTACTCACTACTCCAGTAATACTAGTTAAGAAAAATAAGTTAATCTATGATGGAATTATCATAATTTCTGTCGAAAGTTGCTGTAAAATCCTAATTCACTACTGTAATGTGTATATTAAAGGTTAGTTAGTTTGAATTTGAATTATTGCAATTTCTATCATGAGTTACTGTAAAAATTTTGATACTGATCTTATTTACTATTCTAGCAATACAGTACATTGTATGTAGTTAAAGTAGAGTTAGTTTGTATTAGAATTAACTTACTACTTTGGTGACACAGATGTGAGTTAGTTGCATTGGAGATATCGTGGTTTCTACTGTGTATTGCTATAAAAAATTAGTACAAAGTATGTGGTTAAAGGTTGAGTTAGTTTACATTGAGATTATTGTAATTCCTATTATAGTTACTAAAAAAATTCTATTACAAAACTTACTCACCATTCCAGTGATACTAGTACATATTAATCTATGATGGAATTATTATAATTTCTATTAAAAGTTGCTATAAATTTCTAATTTGCTACTGTAATGTATATATTAAAGATTAAGTTAGTTTGAATTAGGATTATTGCAATTTCTATTGTGAGACACTATAAAAATTTTAATACTGATCTTACTTGCTATTCCAGCAATACACTTTATGTAGTTAAAGTAGAGTTAGTTTGCATTGGAATATCATTTTACTACTTCATATTGCAAATAAGGAATTAGATGCTTCTTGAGTGGCTTTTTTTCTCTTTTCTTCTACAACATATTGCTTAATAAAGTATCCGGCAATAATAAAAATTAATATTGCAGAACATTTTTTTGATGATAATAAGAACCTAGAGTTATCGCGAGCTGCAGCAAGATTCTGCCCCATTGGTTCCTACTATATAAAAAAACTCTAATACAAAGTAGTCTATATCGAGATTATTGTAATTCCTATCATAGTTACTAAAAAATTTTCATTACAAAACTTACTTACCATTCTAGCAATACCAGTATGTAGTTAAGAATGAGTTAATTGATAATGGAATTATTATTATTTCTCTTGAAAGTTGCTATAAAATTCTAATTTGCTACGTGCTATAATATACATATTAAAAGTTAAGTTAGTTTAAATTGAAATTATTATCATAAGATTCCATAAAAATTTTGATACTGATCTTGCTATTCTGGCAATACACTTTATATAGTTAAAGTAGAGTTAGTTTGCATTGAAGTTAGACAAAGTATGTGGTTAAAAGTTAAGAAAAAAATTCTGTTACAAAACTTACCCATAATACCAGTATGTAGTTAAGATTGAGTTAGTCTACATTGGAATTATCAGAATTTTTGTCTGTAAATTTTCAATACTGAGCTTATTCACTCTGCAATATAAATTCTAAAGGCTAAATTAGTTTGCATTGAAATTATAACGATTTTTATTATAAGTCACTGGCCTTACTTGCTATTCCAGTAATGGTTAAAGTGGAGTTAGTTTTGCATTAGAATTATCATCTACTCCAGTATTGGATTTAGTCTACATTAAAATTATTGTGATTTTTATTATTAGATACAATTGGCCACTAAACGCGTAATCTATTTTTGTTACACAACTATTCAAATAAAGATGTGGCTTTAGATAACTGATAACAATTTAATTGATTATTTATATTGTTAATTTAAACGTTATTATTATATACAAATTTTTTTAGTATATAGTTATAGATATAAAATTTCAAATTTTTTAACCCCTCTCCTAGAAAATTACCTGATAATTGTCAGCTCTCTAAACCCATGGGTTTAGCCTAGCTTATTCCGAACCCTACAGTTGACTAGAGGATTATTAATTAAATAAACTTATTGAGGAAAAATCTCAATCAAATATAAAAACAATAATACAAGCAAGTGCTAAAAAACTTAAACAACATAACAATATATTTAATTCGGTCTGGGCTCCGAAAAGCAAAATTTACTATTATAAACAACTACAAAATTCAGTTTATCTTTTTATGATTTGGAACTTGCCCAAAGAAACTAGTGCATTAACTATCAAAACATATTTTAGATTCTTTGGTACAGCTTCTGTTTTTGCAAAACTTCAAAACTAAAACAGTATATATTAAGATCTTGCCAAGCTCTGAACAGAGAACAAAGTTACTAAAAGAAAGTTGGTTAGTATATTTAGATCAAGGAAAAACATATTATACAACATCAGAAAAGTTTGATATTGCTAAAATAGAAGAAAGAAATAGCTATAAATATATAATTTCAAATATACCAACAACTGTATACAATAGCCTTCTTTTGTATCAACTCAAAAAATTCAAAGTTTAAACAGTACATATATTAAAAAATTGTAACAAGAATCTAAAAAAAGAGCTTATCTGTATTTCAAATTGGAAGAAGATCTCTTATTAGCCCAAAGTTGCAATATTTATTATTTTAACACTAAGCTTGAATAGCACTAAACTTCAGAAGATCTAACTAGAAAAAACACTCTCAACATATTTTATTACAAAAGAGAAGTTAAAAATATGAACAAAGGCAAAAGATTATTGAATGAAATTGAAATACCAAGAAAAAAGAACCAAGCCAAATGTTCACCTCTCAAACCAAGCAGTGAAACTAGAAACTCTATCTATACCTCTTCTGAAAATAAAGAAAACAGTAAGGATAATAGTAATCTCAGATCCTGAAGCAATACTCACAAGCCCTTTAAAAATATTAAAAAAGAATATACAACTAGATTAAATAGAGTTAAACTAGAAGAGAAAAGAGCAGAGAGAAAACCAAAAACTTCAAGAGTTCAAATTAACTCAAGATAAAAATATACATA